TTTTAAGGCTTTTCTCTCTTTTTTGGTTAAATTATCTTTGGTATTATTTTTAAGATTTAGTGTTCGAAGGTCTTTTTCCATATTTTTTTCAAAGACTTTAATATAGTCTGTTTTAACTTGTTCTGGATAGAACGTGGACTGTGGATGTAGATTGGTATGTTGATAAGTACTCGTATTTGATAGAGTTTGGGGTTCTTTATCAAGAAAAAACTTCTTAATGGTTAATTTTCGAATGAATTTGTGAAGGTCAATAAAAATATCGAATTGTGAATTCGATGAGCTGGGGGCAAATTTTAATCCTTTTTGAAGTAAAGATGTTTCATCTTGTGTTAACACTCTCTGAGATAGATTGAATACATTTATTTCCTTTGATTGTGGTTGTGGTATTGTTGTCTTAATAGTTCTCCGTCTTGTTCTTTTCTTTGTCTTGGTTTCCTTTTGGGGGATGGTGATTGCGTATGTTCTCTCCATCTGGTCTCTTGTTCCCTTAATGTCCTTGTGTTGTGTTGGACTGGTGATTTGTGAATCTTTGTAAAAATGATGACAGCACAATTCCAAGCAAAAGGTTATTCAAGTAAAATTCTAAATCAAGCTCTAACCAAGACCTCCCTTCTATCTAGAAACCATATTTTGGCAACTAAGACACATAAAGATTCATCTAATTTGGAAGCTCCCACTTTTATAACAAGATATAATAGTCATACCCATCAAATTAGAAATATTCTACAAAAAAATTGGAATATTCTCAAAGGAGACCCCCAATTAGGACGAATATTAAGTAATAAACCTCGAATAATATACTCCAAAGCCCCCAATTTGGGTTTATTATTAGCACCCACAACAAAACAAGAAAAACCAAAGCAAAATAAAACCACTTTTTTTAAAAATCTAGCAGGCTTTTGGAAATGTAAAAAATGTCAAGCATGCATAAATAATTCAAATCAGTCTAAAAATATTATAGAATTTAGTCACCCACAAACAAATGAAATTTTTAAAATAAAATCACACTTAAATTGTAAAACTATTGGAGTAATTTATTTATTAAAATGTCCCTGTGATAAAATGCATGTGGGACGTACTAAAAGGGCTTTTAAAACACGAATGGGAGAACATATTAGAAACATCAAAAATGGACTCCATTCACATAATCTTTCGAAACACTTTGATCTTATACATGCAAGGAATCCTAAGGGACTTATTTTTATGGCAATTCAAAAAATAAATATTCCATGGAGAGGAGGAGATTTAGAAAAAGAATTAGATAAAGCAGAAGCCAAATGGATATTTCAGTTAGACACGCTAGAACCCAATGGTTTAAACGTAGATTTTGAATTAAGAGCTTTTTTATAATTAATCCGTACAACACTTTTTTTTCTTATGAGTTTTTTTATAAATGAGTTTTAAAGAAAATGAGTTTTAATCAAGTATCAAATACCTTATGAACTGCTAATTATATTATTATAATTTTTATGATAATATCTTTTATAATGTTTTAATATTAATATATTATGTTATTTATCTCTTTTTTAATGAACAATATATATAGGTCCAATATGTATTATATTCTTTTTTGTTCAAATTCCAAAACATTGCAAAATCTTTTATTGTATATGATTGTATTATTGAATGAATTTTTTATTATGTATGACTTTATTATTGAATGAATCCAGTGCTATATTTAACATTACCCATAAGGGGTTAACATAAGCCAGAAGTTCTGCTGGCTATATAAACCCACAAGAACTCTCAATCAGATATCCTCTGATGAAGTGAGCTAAGTCTCACGAAACGCGTAAGGACGATATTCAGAACGACAGAACGACATCTCACTGCTTTTCGGCATCTACCGGCACCTTTCCGGCATCTACCTCAATACTGCTGATTTACATCTGGAACGCAGACGGAGAACCTGGTGGAACGCACGCGGCTTGAAAACTATACACTTCATATCTGAAGATCGGACAGTCTATCTTTTCTTTCAGCTGCTCACACCATCCTCTGGCTCCATATTCGGTAAAACTTGTGACCAACAGGGAGAATCAGGTGAAATACATGCGGCTGGAAAATCATTCACTTTACATTTGAAGATCGGACAGTCTATTTTTTTCAGCTGCTTACACCATCCTCTGGCTCCAGATTCAGCATAACTTTAAATTAATGTGAGTGTTACATTTTGTTTTTCTATTTTGTTTTTCAATTTTTATTTCAAGTTTATCTTACAATAAATCAATTTTTTTATATATTAACACTTGAAATAATTCTCTATATTAGCACTTGGATCCTATTTTATTTTATTTTTTCACTCTATCTCCTATCATTAGGAGTAAAGTATTACAACTAAAGGCTACTACATATAGCCTGTCAGTTAGTTATACATTCTCCAATACAGATACAATATTACAATTATAAGGACCATATATATTGTTATATTGTACCATACTAAATAACTAATTCAGTATCTAGATCCCAGTTCATCTATAACTGGAGTGAACTGAATTAGCTTACAAACATAGATTTATACAGACTATTTATCTTCTTCATTTATAGCTACTATGATACAGCTTTTTAGCAAATAGACTGTTAACCATTGGACTTGAATTTGAAAATAACTGTTTTTCGTTATTTTTATTCCAGTTTTTATTATTTTTTAAAAAATTTACTTACATTTTTATAACACCAATTATTATCTTTAAGGCATTTACTATTCCTGGATAATTTATTAATTATATAATTAATTAATTTTTCTATTAATTTTTCTTCTATTTCCAACTAAGTATGTGACTTGACGTGGCAGGTGGGCATCCCTCTAATGACCATTGGAGTAACTAAATAACCTCAATTTGTTTAAATATGCATAGGGATTTGGGAAGAGAGCAGGTAACTTTTTTTCTTTGGTTTTTACTGTATGTATTGGGGCTGATGTGTACTATGGACTTTGCTGCCGCCCAAGAGTAGTGGGAGTTTGAGCGCAACTCCAGTCAGTTAAAGTGTCCCTTTAAAATTACAACTTTCACTTTTATTTTTTTTTTAGCAGATATCTAAATTGAATTGAGACATATAAATGTTACCTCCCAATATACCCTCTATTTGTGTTGGTAAATCACTGATCTGAAATTGCAGTTGCAATTTCTGATATAGTACCCATATTTTCCAATTGTAATAACAGATTCACAGTTTCCTTTCCAAGAAAGTACATCTGGGACAGCAAATACATTTGTCATTGCCAATCTAAAATCATCTTGTTTTTTACACAAACACTCAGTAATATTTTCCTGATGAAGGTCACTCCTTGGATAAGACATTCATGTGTTCATTTCACATTCTTTCCTTGTATAATAATTAAAATGTATTTTCACAATATCTTTTACTCTTTTAGCTTTGTCTCATGCATGCTGAGATTCAATTACTCGGGCCAAACATTTATTCCTTCCCAGAACTTCTGGGAATTCAGGTCCAACATCTGCAGCTGTAACGTCAATAATAACAGTGACTGAAATGCTTTAATTCTTTTTAACCCCTTCATGCTGGGGCATTGGGAAAAAAAACCCTTTCTATAGTAGGAGTGGCTGTCGTAACACCGATGCATGCTGCAATCACCGGGTAAACAGAGATATTATTCATCGTTCCAGAACCAGAGCAGACCAGAGTAATATCCTTGCCATGCAATGGTTATTTCCCAGGCATATGTCATCAAACTCTAAAAGATATGGAGCATTAGTAATGCCCACCCTCTGGGTCTGACCTCCAAGACTTTCTTTTCATGTACAGTAATGGGGAATGAAAGGGAACCTTGGAGTTAAGATCAGAAGCTGCCCTACTTTTCAATGCCCCCCGCCACCCCATAAAAAAAACATTGAGCTTGGTCTCTGAGGTATACAGTGATCAAGTGGGCCCCAAGTCTCCCCCTTAGCCACTGAATTAACTTTGTGAATTTCAGTGTGATTTTTTATTATCTTGGTCACAGCGCTGGAAAACAGTTAGAACTTGAGTTGGTGCATGTAACCTACTAGTCTAAAAACCACTACAGCAAGTGATACTGGTTAGGGGATTAGGCTGTACCTTCAATTAATAATCTTCTATGACAGTGGACATTCGATGTCTCGAACTTTTCTATTTTCAGACTTTTTCTGAACTGTTCTTTCGGTGCAATTCCATTCATCTGAATCGAATTTCTGAAATTAAAATAATGTCCGATCTTCATCCAAAAACAAATGTGTCAATGGATGAAACTCGGTTTGGATGAAACTAAATTATTTTTCATCCGAATGCATTTGACGAAACAAAAATTTGGGGGGGCTCCCAAGCCTAATAATAATTGTGCTACTATTCCTTACTCCAGCAGAATGCAGGTTACATGATTAGCTTTGAGTGATGAAAAGGGATTATTTGGTTAAACCTATTACACTGGTCCTTAGATTTTATGTCACAGACCATAGGGCCAATGGAATTTGAAAACTTTCTAAACACTTACATTGTAAGTTCAGAGGGCAGGATCCTTTTCTTCTACTGTTCCCGTATGTCATACATATTTTGTAAGAATTATATGATTGTCTTGGTGGCATATTTTATAGCGCTGCTGTATATGATGGCGCTATATAATTTTTTTTAATAATAATAATAATGATTTGTACTGTGCTGATGCACTGTTGACCAAAGGGACCAAGTAATGTCTCTATTTACATTTGAGGATCCTTCAATCTCCCTTTAAAAAAAAAAGGTTTTATTTTTTTTCTCTTCTTCATGTACAACTTCACTCAGCACTGATACCATGATACACACTTACTTTATCAGCAAGTCACCCACACACAAATATTACTGTTGTGCTCAATCTGCATATCTTAAGTTGGACCTTGGGAAAAGTCTGCCTAAGCCGCAGTAATTCTGAGAAAGCATGTTTCAACAACTATCCCACAATACCCATCTTGACATCAAAATGAGCCAAGATATAGACATTGTACTTCCGACTTCTGTCTGCATATCTGAAATCCTTTGCATTGTTGACACAGTTTTAAACATAGCACAGCAGAGGATCAGCTGTACCATAAGTCGAAATACTCCCTTAGATTGCCCAAACAAATCTGGTTACAATGACAAAGCTGGAATCCCTATCAGAAATGCACTGTAGGGTGACTCATTCCTGATCTAATGGCAAATCTGACACTGGTCAATAGGCCGCTATTTCATATGTGTTAATATTAGGGTAGTGTGGATTGTGAACAAAAAAATCACAATAAACAATTAATCACAAAGCTTTATGGAAAGAAAATTATTTTTCATAGAGGACTATGTGTCAAAATCTTCCCTTTGCTCCTTACCATTCCACGGTGATCTGCTCTTCGGGGAAATCCAGAAAGCTTAAAAGTGTTTCTTTCCCAAGGAAAAGGAACCTCATATTCGTCATCATAGAGAGACAAGATGTTTTGTGACTGTACTTTCTGAGAGAGTGTCAGGATTACTGTTTGATCCAGCACGTAGAACCGTACAGCACGGATGACAAATAAGTAACGTATTACCGGTCCTTAGAATGGCCGGATTTAACGTACAAAGAATAGTCAAAAATACTAGCCGAGGTCAGGGAACACAGAAAGGGATACAGCGATGAGGAAAGCCAGGAGTCAGGATACCAGAATATAGAGAAGTCAATAAACAAAGCCAAAGTCAAAAACCAGGTAGAAAACTATAAATAGGAACGCGCTCTCGGACAACCACAAGGGAAACCACGACAGGGCACTGAGCAGGCTGAGAACTGGGCCTAAATACCCCTCCTTTAGTTCTGATAGGCTGTAACCGGTCTTTGACCCCAAAGTCAGTTACCAGGTTTCATTTGCATAATTGCTGCTCAGCATTAACCCTTCTGTGGATTAGGTTGTTGCTCGGCACAACTTTTCCTGTGTGGACAGTAAATGTCATTAACCACTTTTCTATAAGCGGATGAATACATGACACCAGGTTTCATTTGCACAATTACTGCTCAGCATTAACCCTTCTGTGGATTAGGTTACTGCTCGGCACAACTTTTCCTGTGTGGACAGTAAATGTCATTAACCACATTTCTATAAGCGGATGAATATGTGACATTACCCCCACCTGAAGAACGCCCACCGGGCGGACAGGACCAGGCTTGAGAGGAAATTTAGCATGAAAAGCGCGGATCTTACGGCCCGCATGCAGGTCAGGAGCCGAAACCCAAGAACGATCAGCAGGACCGTAACCTTTCCAAACAACCAAGTATTGTAAAGTGCCCCGAGAAAACCTAGAATCCACGATAGAAGATACCTCATACTCTTCCTGACCACCCACCACCACCGGAGGGGGAGGAACACAAGGAACAGTATATCTATTGCAGACAAGAGGTTTGAGTAAGGACACAAGAAAAGTGTTGGGAATCCCTAAAGATGCAGGAAGAGCCAGAGAGTAAGACACTGGATTGATCCTACGAAGCACTCTATAGGGACCAAGGAATCTGGGGGCAAACTTCATGCTAGGGACCTTAAGCTTGATGTTGCGAGATGACAACCAAACCCGGTCCCCCACTTGGTACACCGGGTTGGCACTCCTACGCTTATCAGCAAAATGTTTGAAGCGTTCAGCAGCAGCCCCTAGAGCAGTTTGAACCTTAACCCAGGTATCCCGAATGGAGGCCAGACGCTCATCCAGAGCAGGAATGGCAGTATCAGAAAATACCGCAGGGAGAACCGTAGGATGCCTACCATTATTGACAAAAAATGGACTGTGCCCAGAGGAGTCATGAACAGCATTGCTTCTAGCGAACTCGGCCCACGGGAGTAGTTCGGACCAATTGTCTTGTGTGCTATTAATAAAACAACGCAAATAAACTTCTAATGACTGGTTAGCCCTCTCAGCTGTACCATTGGTCTGTGGATGGTAGGAGGAGGAGAAGGAGAGATCAATCCCCAATTGTTTACTGAACGCCCTCCAGAACCTGGACACAAACTGAGAGCCCCTATCAGACACAATATTGTGGGGGATGCCATGCAAATGGACAATTTCACGTATGAAAATTAGGACCAAATCTTGCGAAGATGGCAACATCTTGAGAGGAATGAAGTGAGCCATCTTAGAAAATCGGTCTACAACCATGAGAATAGTAGTGAACCCAGCAGAGCTAGGAAGCTCAACAATAAAGTCCATGGATAGGTGGGACCATGGAATCTCAGGAACAGGAAGAGGCTGCAACAGGCCACAAGGAAGTGCATGAGTCACCTTAGAAACTGCACACACAGAACATGCCTGCACATACTCCTTTACATCTTTCCTGAGTGAATCCCACCAAAATGATCTAGTGATCGCGGCAGTGGACTTATTGATGCCCGGGTGTCCAGCAGTTATATTGTCATGGAACACTTTCATGATATTAACCCTTTCACATAGGGGAACGAACAGTTTATCACACGGTTTACCACTGGGCGCCTGAGGCTGGGCCTCCAATATGGTGCCAAGCAGTGGAGAAGACAGTGAGAGGACAGTAGTAGCAATAATACACTCTGCTGGAATAATAGGAGATGTCATCTGTTCCGGAGCTGACTCATTATCAAATTGCCTGGACAAGGCATCAGCCTTGGTATTTTTAGAACCAGGTCTATAAGTAATGAGAAAGTTAAAACGTGAAAGGAACAGTGACCATCTAGCCTGTCTGGAAGACAAACGTTTGGCATCCCCTATATATGCCAGATTTTTGTGGTCGGTTATGATCAACAGGGGGTCCTTGGAACCCTCCAAAAGATGTCGCCACTCCTTGAGGGCAAGAATAATGGCCAACAGTTCTCTATTGCCAATATCATAGTTGCGCTCAGCAGGAGACATCTTTCTGGAGAAGTAGCCACAAGGATGCAATGGTGTTCCCTGGCTTTCTCTCTGAGAGAGAACAGCCCCTACCCCTGTCTCGGATGCATCAACCTCCAATATAAAAGGTTTACTGGTGTCAGGATGTTTTAGTATGTCCGCAGAGGCAAATCTTTGTTTAAGAGTCTCAAAAGCATTCACAGCCTCTTTGGACCATACCGTGCTACTAACCCCTTTGCGAGTCATATTTGTGATTGGGGCTATTACAGAAGAAAATCCCTTGATGAATCTTCTGTAATAGTTGGCAAAACCAATAAACCTTTGAATGGCTTTTAAACCAGAGGGTAATGGCCAGTGTAGTACAGCCTCTAGTTTTTTAGGATCCATTTGAAATCCCGATGCAGAGATGTTGTAACCCAAAAAGTGGACTTCAGGCTGGTCAAATATGCACTTTTCTAATTTACAATAAAGTTTATTTTTCAACAACATCTGCAGAACCTGTTTCACATGGGAGTGGTGAGTTTGAAGATCAGGGGAATACACCAAAATATCGTCCAAATAAACCAAGACAAATGAGTAAATGAATTCCCTGAGTACATCATTTATAAAGTCTTGGAATACGGCCGGGGCGTTGCATAACCCAAATGGCATTACCAGATATTCATAGTGTCCACTATGGGTATTAAATGCCGTCTTCCACTCATGATTCTCTTTAATTCTAACCAAATTGTAAGCGCTCCTAAGGTCAAGCTTAGTAAATACAGTACTTTAGCTCCCTGAAGTCTATCGAACAATTCGGAAATGAGTGGAATAGGGTATGCATTTTTTTACAGTGATTTTATTAAGTGCCCTGTAGTCTATGCAAGGGCGTAACTCACCACCCTTTTTCTCAACAAAAAAGAATCCTGCACCAGCTGGTGAGGATGACTTTCTTATGTGCCCTTTGCTCAAGGATTCTTTGATGTATTCCTCCATTATTTTACTCTCCTGGGGAGATAAGGCATAAACTGCCCCCTTAGGTGGCATAGCGCCTGGAAACAGGTTAATGGCACAGTCATATGCTCTGTGGGGAGGCAATACATCGGATTGAGCCTTGTTAAACACCTCCTGAAGTTCTCGGTATTGTATGGGAACTCCAGGAGTTTGGGGAGTGGTAGTGGGAAGGTCAATAGTATCCAATCTCTTTAGTACTGGTTTTATACATCTCCCCATACACTCTTTACCCCATTCTAATATCTCCCCATTAGCCCAGTCAATATAGGGATTGTGCTTACTCAGCCACGGAAACCCTAATATGATAGGACATGATGGAGAAGTAATAACCTGAAACGTCATCTCCTCCCTATGGGAGGCCCCAATGGAGATCGTAATAGGGACAGTTTCGTGGGTTATAAGCGGTTGTGTGAGTGGTCTACCATCAATATCCTCTACAGCTAGCGGCGTAGGTCTCTCCCTGACCGGTATCTCATTACCCCTAATAAACTGGACATCAATAAAATTTCCAGCAGCACCTGAGTCCATTAGGGCACTGCAAGAAAACTTCTTGTTATCAATGGAAATAGATACCTCAAGGAGGAATCTACTTTTGTTTTTGTTAGAGGACAACTCCATCACACCTAAGATCTGTCCCCTTAAGGTTCTTAGGTGCGGAAGTTTTCCGGACGCACTGGACAATTAGTTATCATATGTCCCTTTCTACCGCAATATAGGCATAACCCCTCCCTTCTCCTATACTGTTTTTCGGCCTCTGACAGTCTAGTGACCCACAACTGCATAGGTTCTGACTGTACAGAGAGGTTAGACAAAACAGGTTTAGAGAATTGAGGTGCTAGGGACATAGCCGTACGTCTGGTCTTGCTTCTGGTGACTTCTCTGAGTCTTAACCTATTATCAATATGCATGACAAACGTAATAAATTCGTTAAGACTCTTAGGTAATTCTTTAGCGGCTATCTCATCTAGTATAGTCTCTGAGAGACCCTTTTTGAATGCTGAGATTAACCCATTGTTAGTCCAGTCTACCTCGGAAGCTAAGGTACGGAATTCAATAGCATAATCCGAGATAGACCGGTTACCTTGTCTGATGTGCATTAGGGCAGTGGAGGCGTCATCCTCTCTACCCAATGGCTCAAACGTGAGCTTGAATTCGGCAAGGAATTCCTGGTAATTATGAGCTATGCTCCGATTACTCTCCCACAACGGATTAGCCCAGGCAAGGGCCTTGCCCTTTAATTGATTCATTAGATAACCAATTCTTGCTCTGTCCGTGGGGAATGACCCTGGTGAGGCCTCAAAATGGTACTCCACCTGATTAAGAAAACCCCTGCATTCCTGGATATTGCCATCAAACTGTAGGGATGGTGATAAGGAGATGCAAGGAGTCCTATTAACAGTGGGTGGAGGTACACAGGGTAGAGGTGCTATAGGAGGAGACGCTGCAGGCTGCAGATGCTCCGTTCTAGCGAGAAGCGTACTTAAAGCCTGAGTGAATTGATCCATGCGGTGATCATTCTCCTCTAATTTCCTCTCGCAAGCAGCTATGTGCTGACACAGTTCTACAGGATCTATGGCCATGTCGTAATGTCAGGATTACTGTTTGATCCAGCACGTAGAACTGTACAGCACGGATGACAAATAAGTAACGTATTACCGGTCCTTAGAATGGCCGGATTTAACGTACAAAGAATAGTCAAAAATACTAGCCGAGGTCAGGGAACACAGAAAGGGACACAGCGATGAGGAAAGCCAGGAGTCAGGATACCAGAATATAGAGAAGTCAATAAACAAAGCCAAAGTCAAAAACCAGGTAGAAAACTATAAACAGGAACGCGCTCTCAGACAACCACAAGGGAAACCACGACAGGGCACTGAGCAGGCTGAGAACTGGGCCTAAATACCCCTCCTTTAGTTCTGATAGGCTGTAACCGGCCTTTGACCCCAAAGTCAGTTACCAGGTTTCATTTGCATAATTGCTGCTCAGCATTAACCCTTCTGTGGATTAGGTTGCTGCTCGGCACAACTTTTCCTGTGTGGACAGTAAATGTCATTACTCACTTTTCTATAAGCGGATGAATATGTGACAGAGAGTAGATCTAACCATGCAGGGAAAGAATATTCTAGGAACACGTGCTGGAGAAATTCTCCTCCAATACAAAATCCAATAGAGGAAATGGATCCCGCACTGTATCTAAAAATCGAAAAACTTCTGAAGGTGCGCCAGCCCAGCAAGCTCTTATAGGAGGAAGATTCCTGTATTTCTATCTGAGCTAAAAATATAGGATAAAGAATAGAGTTTGAGACATTTCCAAAAATCAGCTCTTTCAAGAAGTCAACAATTCCACTAGAAAAAAAAGGAAGGATTGAAGTGCCTTCAAGATCATGGCTGGGTAATAAACTAAGAAAAGAGCTCCTTCACAACAAACAGTGTTCTTGGGGGTGTCAATAAACAAGTTAATATCAAAAAGCAACTTATCACAAAAAAGAAAACTGAAATTCAAGCAAAAAAATCTTAAATTTCTTCATAAACCATCAATTCCGGGCCAGGACCTACATGTCCCTAACATCTATGACAGGTCTGGTCCACTGGTCCCAACGGAACTCCAGACTGATTTAGAACAACTTTCTTAATCAGTTCAACAATACCTAAAAAATAAGTTCCCTTTTGTCATTTAAGGGCCCACACCCGCTGACCATGCATGATGGCCGTGGTGACAATAGGTTTCCCCCCCCACCCCCTTGTCACTTAGTGGCCCAACCCGCCGCCAATGGATGGATGCTCAGGTGCCCACCCTGTTAATAATTTTATTAGGTGGACCACCATGAGGCACTTTTATAGATTTGTGGGGGGGAGGGGCGGCTTACAACAGTGACTGTTGTAGTTGACAGGCCCCTACTCACGGCAGAAGGGAGATGTTAAACTGCCTTATTTACAAATACCAAGTAATTTTTACTCGGTATTAGTAAAGTTAGCTGAAAAAACAAAAAAATAGACCAGGCACGGAAGACTCTAATCGGATTTTTATTCATTCAAATGAAATTCCAAACCAAACAAAATGCGTGAATTTCATCCTAACACAAATGGACAAACTGTACTCATTCTGTTAGGACTAAATTCAGTGAATTCCTCGGATGACAGGACGTTTGAACGGCGAATAAAGCAACACGAGAACACAGGAGGAGAGATGAGCATTGTAGGAAAATTTATTTGACCACAGGAAATGGAACAGACTAAAGCTCCTCCTTTGGCCAAGACTAGGAAAAATAAATAAGATAACAAAATAGGCCCTATGTTTTATGTCTTTTGTTTTAAAGAAAAATAGATCAGATAGGAAGAAAAGAAGAACAGATCCTGAGAGATGAAGAGAAGAGGAAGCAATTAGGGAACGGCAAGTTCGGCATGATAGTACCGCTTGAAACAAAAGTGATTTAACTCCAAAATGACAGAGAATTGATCAGTGAGACTTTAGATTGTGGATGTCAAATTCACGGCCTACAGGACGCATGCTGCCCACAATTAATAACTTTGCGGCCCAGCAAAGATATTTAATGCACAGGTCACCTGGAGGCGTGCAGAGATCAATGGTAGCAAGTGGAGGCGGTCCAGAGGAACATGGAGGCTGGCAGAGACGGTCCAGAGGCACATGGAGGCTGGCAGAGACGGTCCAGAGGCATTTAGAGGCGCGCAACGTCACATCATGTTCTAATGTAACATCTGTCACGAACGCACCCTACTCCAAGAGTGTGCGTGACGTAGTTGTGGTGGTGAAAGGGTTAAAGTACACTATTTGTCTGCACTAGACCGGAAATAATGACAAAATCCCCCTTTAACACCACCCACACTTAAACATAATAGTATAACTATTACTACTTTAATGCTGCCACCACCAAGACAATTTATAAATGGGGTGCCTTGGTCCCCCAGGTAAATCAATAATAAAACCCACCAAATATTACTTAATACAATATTTAAGGAATTATAAAAATACTAACTAGTCTCTTCAGGTAACGTGATTCTTTTTTTTTTTCAATTTGACAATTTTTATTTTCCATATAGAAAAAAGGGGGGGGGGGAAGGGATACAAAAATTAATGGGGGGTGGGGATGAATGGGGCAGGGTGGAATAACGAAGGTTCCACTCATGACATTATACTTTATACAACATTTTCACTTTATACAATACACAGGTTATTAGTATTTATAATCATGACTACAACCTTGTCCGGCCTTTCTGTATAACCAGCTTATTGTTTTGGCTCTTTAACATGTATCTCCAGATGCCGGTCTGGCTGAGGTTACCTGGTATACCATTAGTGTTTCAAAGGTGGGGGTGGGAATCACAGACGCCAAATGTGGGGTATGATGGAGTGGGGTTAGTTGGTACCGTGTGTATTTCCAACGGTCATTATATCCCACTTTACTTAGTACAGCCGTAGTTTGGATAGTTTAAACAGTGTCGGCAGGGCACTGTCTATGCCCCTCAGCCCGGAGGTGTCCACATGTTTACCAGCCTGTCCTGCGCTCGTTGTCGTGCCTTTTTACCGTGTGGCCTATGTCAATGAGTTGGACAGAAGGAGGTGGTGGGGGGGGGTGGGGGGGGTCCAGGTGCTCACCCGGGGGGGGAGGGGTATGAGGGGAGTTAGCTTAAATATATACACTGGTGGGTTGTTTGTCTCGTCTGTATGTGGTACATCTACCTGGTTTCTTTTGAGAAGGGTTCGCTGTACCTGTTTGATCTCTCATCACCGGCCTCTTTCCACTGTTTCCCGGGGTATACCCTCTCAGATTGCGTTGGTGAGGCTAAAGAATCTTACTCATCCCCAGTTGTTTGGGACTTCACCTTGTTCCAGTATTGTTCCCAAATTTTCCCCGCCTCCATAGTTGCCACTCCCGTCCCCAATTGTTGGGCCGCCATGTGTTCATATTCCCAATTCTTTTGGATCTGGGTAACTAGCTCAGCTTTTGTGGGGATGTTCCGTGATTTCCAGTTTTTTGCTATTAGGTTACATGCTGCTATCAGCGTGTGGAATAGGAGTTTGGAGTGGACCTTGGTCAGGCCTTCTGGCCATATGTATAAGAGGCATGTAGCCGGGGTCAGGGTCATCTTTGCAGGAAGCAGTTGGTCCACGATGGTGCTCACCATGGCCCAGTAAGGTTGCACGTCTTTACACGTCCACCAAATATGTATTAGTGAGCCTGTGTCTAGCTGGCATCTCCAGCACTGAGTAGACACATTCGGGAACATGTGTGCTAGCCGTGTGGGGACCAAATACCACCTGTATTGCAGTTTTCTCACTTGTTCAAAGTGTGTAATGCAGGCTGTGTTGCCCTTGTGGATTGTGAAGGCTCTGGACCATTGGGCCTCCGTGAAGGTGCTGCCAAGGTCTTTGTGCCATGCCTGTATAAAGTTGTCTGTGGATGCGTGAGTGCCCTCAAGCAATGTGTTATATATTTTTGAAATGCTTCGTCTGTGTGGCTTGCCCGTGAGGCACCACGTGTCAAAGTTTGAGATCATGGGTGTCGTAGGTGGAGTCTTGGGTTGCCGTAGGGTGGACTTGAGCTGCAAGTATGAGAAAATTGCTTTACTCGGTAGGTTGTACTGTGTTTGTAGGTCCGGGAACTGTTTTAGGGATGTACCCTTGTATAAGTCGTGTATGTGTGTACACCCTGCATCCGTCCAAGTCCGATAGTCAAATGTTTTGTTTCTCAGGTGGATACTATACATTGTCGATGCTAGCGATGTGGTTCCTGAGCCACTGAGGTGCGTTCTATATGTGTCCCAGGTATGCAGCATTAGTTTGGTGGTCTCTAGCATGGTCGGTGTTGTTGGCCTTAGGTGTTTTGGCACCCAAAACAAGTGGTGCATCCCTGCTCTACATGTCCATTGGGATTCAATGGCTACCCATTGTGGTGGGTTAGCTGCCCTGTGTGTCGTGGCTAGCGCTGCTAGAATGGCCGCCTTGTAGTACAGTTTGACGTCTGGGAAGCTCATACCCCCCCTCTCCGTTGTTCTTTTTATTGTAGAGTATGCCACTCTGGGTGTTTTGTTCGCCCACACGAATCTCGTGATGATTTTTTGTAGTTTGACCATATATTGCCTAGGTATAGGGATTTGCAGCGTGCGGAATAGGTATTGTAATTTTGGCAACAGTGACATTTTAAATGCCGCTATGCGCCCATGCCACGAATGGAAGTCACTGTTCCACTGGTCTAACGTCTGAGAGATTTCCTGCAGGAGTTTCTCATAATTATATTTAAACATTTGGCCGCTCGTCTTGGCTAGCTTAATCCCCAGGAATGTGATATAGTCTTCCCTCCAGTCAAAGGTGAAGGAGTTCGTCAGTGTTTGTAAAGTATGTTCTGGCAGATGGATTCCCATTGCTTGTGTTTTTGTGAGATTTAATTTGTAGTAGGATACTTTGTTATATTCTCGTATGCACTGTAGTAAATTCGGTAGGGATATTATTGGTTGCGTCAACGTCAAGAGTATGTCGTCTGCGAATAGATTAAGGGTGTACTCCCTGTCCCCCACTTGGACCCCATGTATATCAGGGTGGGCTCTGATCACTGCAGCCAGCGGCTCCAGTGCCAGTACATATAGCAGGGGGGACAGGGGGCACCCCTGTCTTGTTCCATTGGTAATGGTTATCTTTTTTTGACACAAAACCCGAATTAAGTACTTGGGCTCTTGGTGCCGAATACAGTGCCCTGACCACTGAAATAAACCCCTCCGGCATCCCGTACCTCCTCAGGGCCGCCTGCAGGAATCCCCACCCCAGTCGGTCAAAGGCTTTTTCTGCGTCCAGTGAGAGCAGAACCCCCCCTTCCCGTTTCGCCCCTAAGCTTTGCATGAGGTCGAGGACTTTTCTGGTGTTGTCTGCCCCCTGGCGCCCCGTCACAAATCCCACTTGGTCATCGTGTATGATGTGTGGTAATATCGGGCTTAGCCTCATAGCGAACAGTTTCGCCAGTAGTTTAGTGTCAGTATTAAGGAGGGATATGGGTCTGAAATTTTGTGGGTAATTTGGGGGTTTGCCAGGCTTGGGCAAAGTGATAATGTGGGCGAGCTGCATTTCCTCCGGTAGGGTTTGTGTTCGCACGGCCTCATTGAAAACTTCTGCTAGGCATGGTGCCAATATATCTCTAAATTTGCTATAGTAAGAGTTGGCAAATCCATCAGGGCCCGGGGCCTTGCCCCTTGGTAGCGACTTTATGGTGTCTCCTACCTCCTCAGGGGTGACTGGTCGGGTAAGGGTGTCTTTCTGTTGGGCTGTCAAAGTCGGGAGGTTGATTTTGTTTAGGTATGTCTCTATCTCGGCCGTTGTCGGTGTGGGTATGGTTGCATCGTTGCTAAGATTGTACAGGTCCCCATAGTATTGTGCGAACTCATCGCTAATAGTGAGCGGCGACATAGCTTTCCCCCCTGCTTTCGTGTGTAGGTACGCTATTTTCTGTGACTGTTGTTGCTTTTTTAACCTTGCTGCCAGTAGTTTACTCGCTCTATTCCCCTGGGCGTAGTGTGAGGCTTTCAATTTCCATAAGTTGTGTCCTACCTTAGTTAGCGCATGTTGGCGAAGTTGCTGGCGCACTAGGGCTATTTGTTCTTTTAGCTGTTGTGTGGGGCGGAGTTGATTTTGTATCGTCAGTGTGTAAATGTCTTTTTGCCACTTCGTCACTTGTGTCTGTGTCTTCCTTTTGATGTATGATGCTTGTTTTATAAGGAGTCCACGGGCAACTGCCTTATGTGCTTGCCAAATTGTGTGGTGTTGTAAGTCGGGGTTGGCATTGTCTGTAAAGTAGGTTTGTAGGGACTCTGCTAGCGTTCCCGAGAAGGTTTTGTCTGTCAGGAGGGTCTCGTTAAGCCGCCAGGGGCTCCTATGTTTGAAGTCATAAGTGTCCCTCAAGATTAGTTCTATAGGGGCATGGTCAGACCACACTATCTGTCCCACCCGACAGTCCACTACCTGCCCTAGTGTGGTTCCCTCCACTAGGATCGCGTCGATTCTCGAGTAGGTATTATGAACCTGCGAGTGGTGGGTGTACTCTTTGTCTTCTGTGTGCGTGACTCTCCATGCATCATAGTAGTGATGCATTGACAGTAATTTGGTCAGGGCCGCGCTTTGGCGCTTAAGTGATTTATATCGCGGGCTGGTTCGGGAGAGAGTAGTGTCTACAGCTGGGTTTAGGACATGGTTCAGGTCCCCACATATAATTGTAGTGCCTTGTTGGATGTGAGAGATTTTGTGTATCATTCTGTGTATGAAATTCCTCTGGTTGGTGTTTGGGGCATATATATTCACTATGGTATATAGTATATTATTTATGTGTCCCACTATTATAACGTATCTGCCTTCTGGGTCGGTGTCCTCAGTGATCAGAGTGAAAGCGACTTTTTTACTGAGCAAGGTGGTGACTCCCTTAGATTTGGTCGTGGACGTAGAGTGGAACTGGTGAGGGTAGGAGTTGGTCAGGATGCTGGGATGGGACGTGCCCCTGAAATGTGTTTCCTGTAAACACACGATGTCCGCATCAGCTTTACCTACATCCCTGCTAAGAAGGTGTCGTTGGACCGGGAGATTGAGTCCCCTTACATTGTGGCTGTAAAACTTAAGGTGGTTTGTATGGGAAGGTATTGTGAGAGTTTGATATGTATTGGTCTATGATGGGGCTCTGCCCTCCCCAGCTACGGCAAGCTGGGCAGATCCCACTAAGATAACCCCTGCGGGTATTCGATAGGTATGTCTGTTCGGTGCTTTGTATCCGGTGGAGAGGCGCTCGTGGTGCTACAGTGTAGATGGTAGGTAATACGTGCGGGCCACCCACCTGGCCCGAATTTGTTGTAGGGGGGCTAAGGGAGGGAAACATAACAAGAACAGAACTCAATATTACATAAAATGCAAACCTATATACAATCATAAACAAAAATGCCAGAATAATGGCAAGCTTCCCAATTAGGGAGCCATGGGGGTCGGAGCGTAATGCTTCGATCCTGCGTGGGGGGGGTGTGCTGCCGCGAGTGCGGCCCTCTTGTTTCTTTTAACATGGTGATTGACCCAATTTGCACTGTTATGCCGTCTTCTTATTAGCTAACACTCTTTAGTGAGCCATCGCTCTACATTATTAGGCGTATTTGGTCTTTGGGGCTTGGTAAGACTTTTTTTTATTTTTATTTTTTTTATTTTATTGGGGGTGTGGTATTATTGCATTGTTATACTTGATATATTTTTTTTTTATTTTTTTTTTTTTTAAACTTGGCATTAACACCGTTGGGAGAGGTTATCCCTAACTCTGTGCGGACTTAGCTTAGGTCTACACATGACCCTTAAATATCTGGTTATAACTTTGTCTGGCTATCTGACCTCAATTGCTCCCTGGTTATCATACCCCTAGTCTGGCTTGGATAGTCTAACATTAAATCATACCAAAATCAAACAATATACATAACATAACATGGCTATTTTGCATTGCGTGATGCAGCATACTGTATACTTGCGGGCGACTTGAAAAGTTCGTATTTGTTCCCCGTCCAGGGCTATTTTCGCACCCGCTTCCATGTGGAGGTGTGTCGCTCGTGCGCTGCAGGCCTCTGGGGTTCTGGGCGCGGGGTGATGCCCCATTCTCTCAGCTTCAGGAGACCTTCCTCTGGGGATGTGATGGCTGTAAGGGTGCCGTTGCGTTGGACCAGCAACTTGGTCGGATATCCCCACCTGTATGCGATGTTGCTGTCTCGCAGAGCCGCTGTGATAGCGCCAAAAGTCTTTCTCTTCCTCAGCGTCATAGCAGAGATGTCCGCGAAGATTCCCACCTTTTGGAATTCAGTAGGTATGTCTTTTCGTGTGCGGCTCGCTCTCAGGACCGCCTCCTTCGCATGGTAGTAATGCATCTTCAAGACGATATCTCTTGGCGTATCAGCAGGTAGGTATTGGGGCTTTGCCACTCTGTGGATGCGATCCAACAGCAGGACACTCTGTGGCAGATCAGGGGCAAGTGTGTGGAAAAGCCCCGTTGCGTACGCCTGCAGCTCTTGCGGGCCTATGTCTTCAGGCACGTTCCGCAGTCTCAGGTTACTGCGGCGTGCGCGGTCCTCCAAGTCCGCAATTTTGGCCTCATATTCTTGCATCCTGTCCCATACTTCCTCCACCTTATTAGCTAGGCGGTTGTGAGCCTCCGATTGCGCCTCCATCTGATTCTCCAGATCTGAGGTGCGTGACCCCAATTTGTGGATGTCTGCACGGAGGTCTGTGAATGAGCGTTGCAGTGTTGTTTGCAGTTTCGCCTCCATATCGTCGAGCATAGCCTGCATCCCCTCCGTGGTGAGGACGCGGCCCGAGGCCTCTGTAAGCATTCCTTGGGCTCCGTCTGTTTCGGCGCCATCTTGGAGGTCTTCCTGTGTTGCCGCTCCCCGCGTGTGCCCTTGTTTGGCGTTGAAAAACAGGAGTTTGTCCTGTTTCTCGGTCGCCCGCTTTGCCTTGGCGTGGGACATGGTCGGTAGCGCCTGGTGCCCGTTGATTTTGTCCGGTTTGGGTCTAATTAACGTGTGAGGGCCTGTACTGCCGCGGAGCTGTTAGAACATGCGACCGCTCGCGTTCCCGTCCAGGCCACGCCCAGGTAACGTGATTCTTAACCAGACAAAGGCAAAACTTAATAAATGAATGTTTATTATGAGCAAAAGATAGTCACAGTGCATATAAAAATATATGATAAACAAATTATTTACACCAACAACAGATAAAAACAAAAAGGATAAAATACAGAAGTCCTAATTACTCACTTAGGTTTTCAAAGTACAACTTCTGTCCAGGGGGTCTCTGGCAAGGAAAGATGGTGACTCACCCAAAATTAGATCTTGGCCCCAAGCAAGTACACCAACACCCTTCAGGATCATTAGATATATACCCTGTGGTTTATCAAGTCTTGCCCAGGGGTGGAGTTAAGGCGTACCTACAGAAATAATAACTGACCACCTCCTATGTTCCAGACCACTGTCAATCC